AGTCTGGTTTTTGGGACCATCTTGTTCGTGGTTCCAAGTGGACTGCTCCAAACTGAGACTTTTGACGTGAGCAGACAGCAACCGTTGACTGGCCAGTGTAGCTACGTCAATGGATGACCCGCCCAGAACATACATGTCAAGTTTTATGGATTTTCCATAACTTGTACGTATTATCCACTGTTCTTCATCACTACGGACATACAGAAAAAGTCTTGCATATTTTTCAAAGACTCAGCTTCAAATATATTTTACGTCTCAGAGTCGACTTGTAAGGAAATGCCAAGGTCGCCCCCTCCTGCTCCTCCCTGCTCCGCCCTGCCTCCGCAGCAGACAACCCCTTCTGTCTGCGCTACAACACACCGTCCATTTTGCACTGACGAACACGCCCACAGAGCGGTCACAGTGGCAATTCACCTATGCTCGAAGAACCGATGCACGAGAGTCGAGTGAAGTCGCACTTATCAATGGCAAAGTTTCTTTAGAAAACACCTGAACAAGTGCAACTAGTTTGGAAACAGTTTTAGGATAAAGTTTCTAAAACAAAACATGGCTGCAGAGTTCAGGTTTGGAAAAACTTCATCTTAGACGTTTGGACCAGCAGCTTAGAAACAAAATCAGGGGAAACGTTTTACCGTAGCAAGTATCTGAATGAGATACAAGACAATACCGGTATATTTTATTGTCTCAATGGGGAAGAGAAAAGATATATAGATATGATTTGCACAAACCTCTGACGGCAGCTGTTAGGTACGGTGGTGGAAGGTTCATGATATGTGTTTGCAAAGCAGCCTGAGAACCTCGTAGTCATAAACTCATTGGTTACCAAAGTATTCTGGAGTCAAACGTGAGTCCATGCGCTCCTGTTGGGATTAGAGTGAAGAGTTAACAACAGCTAGTCTGTGGGGCCGTCCAGACAAGAACGTATTTGTATTTGTTTATTTATTTTTTTTGCGAATACACAAAGGGTTTTTATTTTTATAGTTACAGACTTGTCTGCACTTTAGGAGCCCCAAAGCAATGTTTTTTTTTGGGTTTTTTTTGAGAAATGGGTCCAAAAGTGAAAACAAAAATCTTCAAATACTGTCCCTGCGCTTTCATGTAGATAGCCAAAACACAACATTTTGAAAACAATGATCTTATAATCCCACCTCTAATTTAACCTCCAACCTAAGGGTGTCCTCCTCTTCCTCTTGCGTTGACATGTTGAAGCTAGCATTTAAACTTTATGAGCATGCTCCACGCCTTGTTTCCTGTTTTTGGTGTATTTTCATGGCAGCATTACAGCGCAACTTCCAGGCTTGGCATAGCTACTAAAAGGTGTTGGACTATTTATAGAGTTTCCATGAAAATGACATCACTTTTAATAGTGTGTTTACAAGAATATTTTTTAGATTCAATGAATAAAAAAGTCATTTTGCAAAAATTGCATTCCCATGTGGACAAGGCCTGATTGCGAGGCTAACTCCAAAGAGAATCACTGTCTTCTTAAAACAATTTCAATCTAAAAAAATACTTTATATGTAGGCTTATGTTTCAAGCGAATGTTAATTTTAAACCTGTATGAGCCATCAGTTTTTCAACAAAGTTATTCAAACAGTTTTCCTGCTGGAAGAATCCGGTATGCACTGGAAGAGCAACTAACTTTTGCTACTATTAGTTCTTAGTAATAACCAAATTTGTATCTAATTAACCATTAAATGCAACATGTATGTTTTATTGTATGCTATGTTCATAAAAGTAAACAATCCATGTTGGTTTTGGCCTTGTTATTTTATTAATCCAGTCACAATTAAACTATATCTCCAAACTACTAGGGATGCACGATATTGGATTTTTGGCCGATATGTTAAAACTTATTTGGCCGATAACTGATACCGATATTTTATATACTTTCCTTTATCAGAACATAGCCCTCTTATTTAGGCTTATTTGATACAAAAATTGTGTAAGAGCTGCTGACATATATTCAATAACAGCCATACGATATGCATAGCACTTTAACTTATATTAAATGAAAAGTGTTAAATGTTATTTATTAGCATTAGTCACCTGCGATGCTGTCTCACTTGTGGAGGTTTGTTCCAGGTTCAGCTGCAGTGTGGGATCCTCTGCTCTCCTGTGCATGAAGGACAGACTTTTTAAGTTCAAAGTTTTTGTCTATCCATTGTGCCGTAAGACTAATCATGCTAACGGGGCTAACACTTGACGTCCAAATGTCTGTAGTAAAACTCACCCAACAAGTCGTGCCATCGGCTATTAGCTTCTCGATGACGTCGGAAATGACGGCTTGTAACTTGGGTAAGACTACGTCTAACAAAATGTCTGACTGGGGACGATGTAGCGAGGCTCAACGTAGTCCAAAAATCTTTGGAATCCGACATCCTCACCAACGAAAAACAAAAACTTCCACACTGCCGACATTTTGAATTTTCTTCTCCGCCGTGAGATCAGGGTGGCGCACGTGACGTCATCACTTTGTGCTGGCGCTGCAGGCAGCTACCGATATTTTATTGTCACTGGGTTGTCATACAAAAACATCGTCTTTTACATCGGTGAGTTATTTTGATGGAATGACCGATGTCCGATATTGAACTTTAACGCTAATATCGTCCGATACCATGACGATAATATCGTGCATCCCTAATCCAAACAGCTCTCTGGAACAGGTAAGATAATATTTGCTTATAATCTTTCCCCTGAACCCCATTTCAAATGATCTAAAAAGCCATTTTAAGATGTTTTTCTCACCAAGCCAACACTTTTGACCACAGTAGTTTATGTATGGACTATGGCCTTTAAAACAGGCCTTTAGAGTAGCCCCGTTCAATAACAACACAAAGTATATTAAAAAAGGTACTTTATGCTTTTTGTTCTGAGTTTTCTTCTTGTTTTTGTAAACTTACCGTCACCCAGCATTGTGTATGACTAGCTAGGATTACAGTAAGGTCATCGGGGAGGAAGAAACGGGAACTCTTGACAAAACAAATGAACAAAAGGCCAACATAAATGGGAGGGGATTCATCAACAACACGCCATAAAACATGCTCACACGCACACACACACACACACACAAACCTTCTGACTCGATGAATGCTGGCCTCGAATGAAACGGATGTTCCCATGAAAGGAGATGAGGAAGTACTGACAGGAGTAGTGGTGTGTGAGGGTTTCCAGGGATGACGTCACCCTGATTATCAGTAAATTCAACAGAGGTTAAACAGGAAGAAGAAAACGAAACAACGGAGTTATGAAGAAGTTTATTTTGAGTAAAACCTGTTAAACTGGCAGGTAAAGAATAACTGTAATTTGACTTATGTCAATATTTTAGTAAAGAAAAATGAATCAGCTTCCTATTTATGAACAGACCTATATGGCAAGCCAATTTATCATATAATAAGTAGAATCTTCAAGCCAATTTATCATATAATAAGTAGAATCTTCAAAAGTTAGTTCTTTTTGGTCTGAATTAATATTTTTGCTGTACAAATGACATTTTTCCTGCCCTCAACCAACAGTTTATATTTA